CATTAGTTGAGACTTTTTAGGTCATCAAAATCCGGGCTCTAGTTATAACATTACCAATGCACAGTATGGTATTTGTTTTCAAATCAAATTACCCCAAAAAAATTTTTTAGACTAATTATTACTGCGAAAATAATAAATTTGTTTCCAATACAATGATATCGAGAATAAAAATTCTAGAAATGAGGCAGTTCAGCGACACAGAGCCTTTGGTGCCCGATTCAAATTTCTTCAACTTTTGATGAGTTTAACAGCTATTAATCGTTTAACGATTAATTTTTCGGTTGTTTCAATTCGGACATTTTCACGTAATGTCATTATTTTTCATTTACTAATAATTCTTTTATCAATAGTATTTTAAATATTTCTATCAAAGTTGTTTTCTACAATAAACAAGTGAAAATCAAATTTCACCAATCAAATTTTCAACTTCTAAATGTACATTTTATATGAATTTTAATTTTGATAAAAAAGTGACAAAAATAAATATTATCGGTGCTGAAATTGGAAAATATTTCGCAATAAAATGAAAAGTTTGCTTTCAAAACATTTGAATTTTACACAAAACCGTTTATTTCTAACAAAAAGAGAAGGAAGGAATATCTGTTAGTTTTCGAACGGCATCCTCAGAACATCTTGGAGCAGGCTCCAAAAGCTTGTGTCGCGGAAATAACCCAATAATTAAATATGTTTTAAAGTTAGTGATAAAAACCGAATTTTATGCAATAAAACATATATTCTTTTGCAAATTAGTCAATGAAGCAGGGAAAATATACTATTATATCAATTACCTTTAACTGTCTAACTCAAATGTGTTGAAAGTGTTAAAAACATTGGTTGCTCTTTTTTTCTTGTTGTAATGAATAAATTATAAATAAAAGAAATTATGCCATTAAAGATTACGTACTCTATTTGAGAATGGAAGTACTAGTTTATCTGAATTCACTTTCCTCTAAACTTTAAATTACCGTTTCGTGGGAAATGATTCGGTACTTTCACTTCAAGAAGATCACTGATACCTACACATGTGACCTATAACGTCAGCTGATCGTTTGTAAGCAAAATGGTGCGTTAAAGTTGAGCCAAGTTTCTCTACACAAGTTAGAATGTTAATTAACGTGAAGTTAATTTAATACAGTGTCGTATCGAGCATCGAATTAGTTGAAATACAATTCTTTCTTGTCTACGACTTTAACGTAACTTAAATTTATTATTTGCTTATGTATTTTATTATAACCATGATATATTTTCGTTTTGCGTATCTGGCAACTTCGACGCTTTATTAGCTTGTTTATGTTCAATATGGCTTCGTGCCTGTCTTTGTGTTAAATAAGAAATACATAGTGAAAGAATTGAAACCTTTGTGAAAGAATATAGAACGTGTCATTTAAGGGAATTGATACTCATAATAGAATGGAAATAACGGTTCTTAAAATAAACAAATGCTAAATTTCAACAACCAATCAGGATCGAGATATCCACACTACGTCATTTGCAGGCATGCCATTCTATGAAAAGTTTCACCCCCCCCCCATAGTATTGAACCTTGAACCGCATATGATTGCATCTACATACAAAGTGATGCTATCATTTAGTTCTAATTTTATTAAAAATGTTCCGTATTTTATTTTGCGCCCTGGGCGACAAATTGTATTGAAGAAAAAAAAGAAGTTCTGGTCAAATATTCTAAAATATATGCTTTGATATTTTACCAGAACTTCTTTCTTATTTATAAAACATTAAATTGCTTGCTTAAAAAATATATTTTCTATTTAAAGAAAAAAAATTTAATTATCGTTTGAAGATCAGTGAATAGCTTTACATCAATAGTGTACAAGCTGTGTGACATATGTCTTTTGAATGAACGAACAAGAGTTGTAAAAATGACGTCATATTATCGATTACTTTCCTGTCATAAATCGATAAGCACCCTTTTCCGGCATCCTGAGAGGAAAGAAGAGGCTGGTAATTATATACTAAAAAGAAAACACCTCGTGGCTTTGTTTTAAAAACAAATATACTGCTCTTTATTGGACAATAATTCCAACCAACACTTAAATTTTGTTTCATGAAAAATTAAGACAAAGTAAGAGACGGGCATTTGAAAGTTTGACACCTCTTCCAGTGTTGTCTCTTACAGTAGCCATGAATGTTGTCTGCGTCTCTGTGAACTAATAGTTCGGAAGTTGCATAAACTTTTTACATGTTTCGAAACTCGATTTGCTTTTTTGGTTCTGGAGCAACAGTTACCAAAAGGTGTTCCGAGTGTTCCGAGGTACCTAGTGTTCCGAGGAATAGTCACAAGGGTTCCGAAAGTTAAGAGTTTATTATTTTAACCAGATTTTAAATCCTTCGATTTTTTTTTCACTCGAAATTATATTTATATGAAATAATTATTCCAGTATTTATTTTATACTTCGGTTATTTTATGAAATTATTTAAATAAAATGACACTATGAAAAAATATAGCAAAATTAAAAAAAAAATAAATCAACGATGTTTTCAAACAACATGCATATTAATAATAAATTATGTAACGGAATATTAATTATAAAAAATTACATTAATATTTTCCGCTTAACTTTACGATACAAAATAAAATAACTAAATTCAACAATACAGATAAAATTAATTAAAACGTAAATTTAGTTAATAATGAATCAAAACGTAAATTTATTTTTCATACGAAGTTACATAAAGTAAAAGATGTAACTATAAAAGTTTTACTATAGTAAAAAGTATAAGTCTGAGTTAAAGAAAGAGGAGGTCGACTTTCTTGTGTAAGTGTGGGAGGAGATTAGTAATTAGTTTATTTTTACTGACAAGGGGAGTCCATAAGTGCCAAAGTTAGGTGTTATTTTATACGTGTTATTTGGATGGATCCTTATTTTATAATACTTGGATTATAAAATAAGGAATATACTATGCACATGTATCTATTCTTATAATACCATGCAAATGTTTGTACATTCATATTTCATGAATATTTTAAGAGGTAATGTGTAATAGCATTTGTTTACAACTGTTCGCACACCCATGCAAATATACTATTTTGAAACTCTTGTTGTAATGCTTTTATTAAAACTAATTACATTTTTTTTAAATTGCAGTTTTAATTTATACAGAAAATTTGTAAAAGATTATAAATTTTTTTCAACATTTTTAGAAATATCCTATTTATTTTACTTTTATGCAATATTTTATTTATATATAATGACATTTATTTATTTATAAGAAATATTATCTTAATATATTAGTACTACTTCACAGATTTTATAAGCATATTCAAATTAAGTGATGCTAATTTCCTGCGATTTTTTTTTTCAGAGCAAAAATTTTTGTAAACATGACGAAATATATATCAAACGAAGATAAATATTGCATTTAAAAATTTATATCAACGCCTTCACAAAATTTGGTTTAGATTGAAAAACATTCTTCGTATACACTGAACAATATTCACTCGCGAAATAACATTTTCCTAATATTTTAGTAAAAGGGGTAAATTTTCGAGTAATATCTTCTCGGAAACACTAAAAGATTTTTTTTATCATTCTTTTCCTATTGTTTTTTTTTAAGTTATAACTACGCCTTTCCACTGGGTTTCGAAAATCCTGATATATTTTTTTTATTTTTTATCTGGTATTATAACGACTTGCAATTTGTTTGCTGTCGATTATTTGTTGCGACTTGCAATTGATGTTTTCCTTTTTGAATCTTGATATCTTGATATATAAATCTTGATCCGTTTTAAGATTTATCAATAATAAATTCTCGAATAATCTACAAATTATATTGTTATTAAGTTAAAAGTATACTGAACGTTGTACCTTATTTTGAGCTATAATGTGTTTCGTTTTATTTTAAATCATTTTTAACCCCATACAATTTCATTAAAATATTCATTTCGCATTTATGTTGCTCAGTAAAAAATTTATCTATTTTTCTTAAAATTCTATTTTAGATTATGATTTATTTTAAAATACACTTTTTTATTACATGATGTGATAACAAAACCATTACTTTTTCTCCATTTTTATATTTTTTGCGATAAATATTTTTTTTTCATTAACAAAAGGAAATATATTAATTTTCAAAGTATTAGTTTAGTTTACTTCTGTTTTTAACGAATTTTCAGATTTAAAAGAATTTAATTTTATGCAAATACATTAATAAGTCAATTGATTAAAAAAAAAGGAAGAAAAAAAATTTAAATAATAAAAAAATTATAATTTTTTAAAAGAATTTAATTTCACGTAAATATATTATACTAAGTTGACTAATAAAAAAGAATTCTGTCTAAACTGATGTTTATTTTAAAATTATTATATATATAATTGCACTACTTATATAAATTATTATAAGTGCACATAATTGGCATCCCTACTTCATGAATTATAATAAAAATGTTTTTTTCGTTCGTAGTATGTTTTTTATTTCAATTTACAAATAAAAATAGCTTTTAGCTAAACTTTGAGCATAATTGTTGTAAGATAGTGAGTTATTTCCTCGCATCATTAAGATAGAGTAAATTGGTAAGTACATATAATATATCAATTTAGTACTTTTTCTAAATTCCGCCTTTACATCGCAATTATTAATTCGTTATTAATTTACAAAATAAAACATAAATAAAACATGTAAATTAATATAAATTAAAACATATAAATTAATATATAAATTAAAATTAATGAATATAAATGCCCTTATAGCGGAATATTAATGCGTAATAGCGTTCTTGTCTCGTTATAATTTTAACATATTTGTGTTGCGTCTAAGATAGGGCGCATTTATAAATTTTGCAGGGGGGGGGAGCACCTAAGTCTATGTTTGCCACTGATGAATATCCTTATTAGCACACGTGTTCATAAAGCGGTTACAGTTAATTATTATGTAAGCCACGTGTTCTTATTTTTTTATGTGTTTATAACTGTAAAGAAGAAAAAAAATGATGGTGAATTCATATCGAATAAAAACAACAATGTGAGTTAAGGTTCACTTACCTTTCATTTTGCGACTTTAAATGTTTGAATAAATATTTAATAAATGCTTCTCGGAGATCGCACATGAAGAGCGACAGAAACCGGTCTTCTTCCAACGGAAAAGAGGCACGCTTTTATAAAAATATATCTCCTAGACAATTTCTTCCCGAGAGAGCAGCCTTCCCCTTCCTCTCCTCTCCGATAACGTAAATTATTCAACAAAGCTTCCCACAAGTTACGTATCCGACTGACTGACGAAATCAGCGCCAAATACATCGCCGCACATCAACGCCAAATTACCACATTTATCCAGAATTATTTTCCTGCATTCTTGTCACATCTTTAAAACGAAAACAATAATTTGGATGTGAAAAATAATGCAGGGAATTTTTAATAATAATAATGTAACGTAAAGAGTTAAAACAGTAAAATAAACAATTCGAATTACAATTCGAAACCGGTTGAAACAATTCGAAAATAAACAATTCCTTCAACCGGTGCACTAGGGTCAGTCGACTTAAAAATATTTTAGCCAGAGCTAAATTATTATAATAATTAATATTTTTAGGTTAAGAAATTTTATTTTTAATTATGGCATTGTGTAATATAGCTGTTCATTTCAACTTTTTAATAATAAAAATATTTGTTAAAGTAAATAGTTAAATTTGATAAAGAAATAAATAAAAAGCTATATTTTTTTCAGTTAAAATTTATTACACTAAATCTTCGTATTAAAAGAAACATATATATACATTCAAATCCCGCTATTGTGAACCTTTAAGGGGCCGACATTTCTGTTCACTATAACCGGGTCTTCACTCTATCCGTTCCTCAAACAATTTTAACTAATGACTCCTAACTCCCCCTTTTTACTACATGACGTTATTTAAGTAAATAACGAATAAAAGGAGATACATAAATGACTGGGAAAAAAATACGTAGTAACAAAAATGTGTTAACTTTTATTTTTTACTACTCTTCGTCTTGCGTACAAAAAAAAAAGAAAAGAAATTAGTAATCTTTAGCTGATGAGCAATCTTCACAACATCAGATATGGAAATACTTCCGATAATCTTTCCTCGATATAAGTTTTTCCGAATTTTAAATCTGTCTAACCATCCATTCGAGCACATAAAAGCAGTCTCTCATAAAATCGCTTAGCATATCCATCGACTTTGACTTGAATCATTTGTCCAGATACTGGAAGATTGCGGCTTCTTTGAATGCTGAACCAATTCAATAATAAAGCAAACAAGAAAAAATGCTTATTGCTACATTCCATGCTATAGATGGTTTCGTATTTATTTTGAAGTACAAATTTCAAAATTATTACAAAAAAATAAAGAAAATAAATCAGCTTACGACAGAAAAAAGTTTATAATATCCAACTTCCTCTCTTTATTTGGTTCACTTAATCGACAAAAAATTACTTTATGCGTGTAAGGCACGGGAGAGAACATTTCGTTTACTATATCCGGGAATTCACTATATACCGTGTGCACTATAGCGGGGTTTGACTGTATATATATATTTTAGGCAAATATCAATCAGTAAAAATAAATTTTGATTACGCAAAATTTTTAGTTTAGTGTAATATTATAAGTCTCAAATCTTTAAAATGTCGTCATATTTTAATATTTTTTTAAAATTTTATTTATTTATTTATTTTTGTTCTCTACAGTGTAAGGAATGAGTCTGTCATTTCTTAACGTGGCATTTTGGTCTCATAAAATTTGTTTCCAAAAAGTATAAATAAACTAAGGTTCTCAGTGACGTAAATAGCACTCCTGCAATCGTTTGTTGGGGTCCACGTTCCAGAACGAATACTGAGCATTACAATTTTTTAATTTTTTGTATAAATATTTATTTTCAATAATTTCATCATTTCCTAACTTAAACTAATCTAGATTTATCAAACACAGCAGTTCCCAAAAGGTGTTCCTCCCGCGGAACCCTAAAGATTCCTATCCGGGCGTGCCACAGGGTTTCTCTTAAAGTTATTTTTACGAAATTATTTAAATAAAACAGCAGAGAAAAAGAAATCTCAAAATTAAAATACATATGTAATATATAGAGATATATTTTACAATAAAAAGGAGGATTTTGAGGATTACTAAGTTTTGACGAATCAATAAAATCTTGAAAAGTCAGTTCTTCCTTATTGAACGGGATACCTGCACGTGACGTGGTGTGCGTATCTCAATTCTGATTGGTTGCTGAAACATAGCATTTGTTTACGTTAACAATTGTTCTTTCCATTTTATTTTGAGAAAGCCAAGTCCCCGTCAAGTATCAATTCCCTTAAATGACACATTCTATATTCTTTCACAAAGATTTCAATTCTTTCACGACTTTCTTTACTGAACACAAAGACAGACACGAAGCTATGTTGGACATAAACAAACTAATTAACCATCAAAGTTGCCAGGTACACAAAAAAAAAATATTTCATAGTTAGAATAAAACACACAATCAAATAATAAATCTAAGTTAAGTGAAAGACGAGAAAGAATTTTATTTCAATAAATTTGAAGTGTGATACGGCACTGTATTTAGTTAACTTCCCATTAGTCAACATTCTAATCTACGAAACTTATTTCGACTTTAACAAGCCGTTTTGCTCAAAAACGATCAACCGGTGCTGACGTCAATGGTCACATGTGTGGGTATACACGGCCTTCTTCTAGAAGTGCAAGTACCCAATTATTACGGCTCAAAATCAGCTTTCATGGACTTAATATTAAATTAATTATGTTTAAAAAAAAACATTTTCCTCAATTCATCAAAGACAAAAATATATTTCCATTTCAAAGTTTACAATAATTCTTTTTCGTTTTCACTTAAACAAAAATCGTAATTTATTTTATTATAAGCTTTAACAAATTTAGAATTTTACTAGACTTGACTAGCGAATTAAACTTATTGATTAAGCTTAGTATCATAAATTTAATTTTAAAACTGATAAAATGGTGTAAAAAAATTCTTTACATTAAATATTTTTATTCAGTACTTTTTCTTTGGTTAATGAGTTTTATTTATGAATTCTGACAAAAGGAACAAAAGAAGAAAAAAAATGGTGTTACAAGTAACCTTAGGGTTCCGTATCCACACGGGTTCTAAAAGATGGGACAAGTTTTTAATAGTTGTGATTTTCTCAATCTGTGATTAAATTTATATCCAATTAATAAACCTTTATTTATTTAATGTTTCCATTAGTTTTATGGAATTATTCAATTAAAATTTTTGTGAAGAAAGAAAATTCAAAACAATGTTTTTTTTCTTCCTGATAACAATACAACGAATGAATTGTAAAAAAGATAGGCATTTATGAAAAATTGCATCAGTGCTTCATGTCTAATATAAATATCAATGAAGAAGCATGCTTCTCCCATAAACAATTCTGAACTATTATTATTTTCGTTTTTATCTTAGCGGAAACAAAGCTCATTCAATTTCAATTTGTGCAGTAAAATCAAATTGAGATTTAGATACCGCTTCGAACTTGTGAATTCTGGCACAATTTTAAGATAAATATCGATACGATGATCTGCCTTCATTCGCTAAATGTTTTTCAAAATAATTGGAAAAAATTTAGATCATTACATGTTTCTAAAATAATAAAATTTTCCTTTGTTTTATTAATTTGTTCATGATTGCTGAGGGCATTTCCGGTAAAAGGCTTTTAGAGTTCAACAACCGAAAAAAATTGGGAACCACTGATTTAAGGTGTGCTGCATTTTACAAAGAACGTTTCGGGGATTGTAAGTTAAATCGCAATGAGCATGTTCAAAAACGAAGAGGACGCATGAACATGTATAAATAGTATTAGATTTTTGTTACTTCGATGTCGAGACTTTCTTCTTCTACCAGCACTACTGCCGATTTATAGCCATGGCTGTTTCAAACAGCTTTAGCCTTTTCGATCTATCACTACTCTCTACTTCATCTCTCACACTGCTTGGATATTTTTCAACATAGTCTACCTCTCTTTCTTTTTCCCTCTATCCTTGTGGAAAGTTGAATTGTTTTTTTCTGGTTTTATCATAATTATGTCAATAGATATGATCACTACTCTCCACCTCATTAATTGAATTCTAATAAATATCACTGTATTTAGGTTCTCTGAAATTGTTGTATAGCTCAAAGTTAATCTGCTTTACTGCATGTCTCCTCAAGAGCTTATTTTTCATTGTTATTTCATTTGCTTAATTTTTTTTAAATCTTGTTTCATTGAATTTATTTATTTTAATATTTTTACGATCAAACGCACACTACATGTGGAAAAAAAATAGAGTCCAATTACAGATTTAACTACATCACTTAAAATGTATATAAACACTTGTATTTGTGTGAATAAAAAAGTGTAACTTTTGTCATATGTTTGATATAAATCCCTATCAGTTAATATTTTTCTATACTTGAAAGTTTTACAATGATCCAGCTCAGCTACATAATTTTTAGATATTTCTTTAATAGCTTTGAGAAAAAAAAAGAAAGTGATTGCAACAATAAAACATTTAGACATAATTAAAAAAAAACATCAAAAGAAGCAGTCTTAAAAAATGTTGTAAAAATAAATTATTTTTTTACCTAGTTATATTTACAAAATGAGCTTACAATTCATAGCGTGACTTTTTACAAAAAACTGAATCATACCTAAAATATCAGAACAAACAATTAGAATTTTATAGAAAAAACAAGAGAAATCTCTACGGCATGTAACTAATGAAAGGTGATGTAAATCTTCGAGAGCACGAGGTATATCACTACAGTTCATCAAAATAATTTTGAAACAAATATTTGTTATAACTCGATCTAAATGATCGCTATTAAAATTTAAAACATTATTTATTTGATTCATTATTTCTCTAAAACAGCGATTAGTTGCGATTTACATTTAAGAGGTCGTTATTATTAAATAAGTCAAAATCAGCACATGTGAAAACATCTGAATCAAAACAAACGTTTTTTTTTAAAAAGTCACTTCTATCAATTTTTTTTAACTCTTAAATTAATAAAAATAAAATAAAAGAACAAGTAAAGAAAATTGACTAGCCTGATAATTCTCTCTCACGGCAATAATAACTCCATCATCCCGTTTACAGTTGCTAGTTTGTCTTGTTGCTGAATCACGATCCTATCGAAACACTTGTCATCAAATAAATCATTCTCTTCAATCTGTTCACAAATCCAAGATTCGGTTAAGGTTAAACAAATAATACTGTAATCCGCAG